CCCTCCCCCACCCAGTGCTTGCTCAGAGTTCAGAGAGCCGAGTTCAGGAATGGAATGGACACGACAGATCGTGGGTCACCCATCATTCCCAGAGTGTAGGGACTCTCACCGTTCATGGAGAGGAAAAGAAAAGAAAAAAGAAAAAGGCAGCAAGTCTCATGACACAGGGCCGAATTGGGACCCTGCTTACCAAAGCCCCTGCCACTCAGGACTGAAGGCCTGTTGGTTCTGTTTGCCCTCCTTTATTCACAGGCTCCCCCCACCAACATGCACCAGGTTGACTGGGCCCCAGGCACCGTACCAGGCCGGGAGAGTCTAAGAGAAGCAGGCTCAGTTCGTGTCCTCATGAAGTTTGAATCTTGTAAGGAGGCCATCATAACATGACATGTTAATCTCTTTGAACCAGACATAGGGAGAGGCCTGGAAGGGGAAACCCACCTTTGTCCAGGGATTGGGGATGGGTCAAGAAGGCAACGTTTGAGTGGAGACTTGGAAAATACATCGTGCTTGCTTGTTGGGCAACGCGGGGAAGAGATTCCAGGCAGAGGGCACAGCGTGGGCACAGGCTATTCTTGGAACTCAGAGTAGTTTAGAATGGTGGTGTGTGGCAGTTTTACATCATCTAGTGTCAACTTGTGAAGGGGTGGAGTCTAGCCTGTCAATCAGGTTGCAGCTTGATGACCTCATTTGGAGGCACCATGGAGATAAATAGCTCACTGGAGGCCAGATATATAGAGACTTTTTGCTTGTATTCCTGCTGACAAGACACATGGAGCCAAGCTAGAGCCCTGGAGCTGAAAGAGCCAAATGGAGACCCACACCAGTGTTGAGATGTACACCACCACTGGATCCACAAGACTCCCCACCCACTGGCCTGTGATCTTCCTGCATTTGACATCATTGCCTGTGTTTCGTGAGTTTGAAGAGGAATTTATAGATTTCAGATGTTCTTGTATATAAAGCTCTTTCTTATATACCTGAGTGTCTCTGGAGTTGTTTCTCTAGTACACCCAGACTCACACAGGTGGCGTGTGGGTAGAGTCACAGTGTTGAGAGAGGAGGCTAGAAAGCTGGATGCAGGTCTTGATGCTTGGCGGAAGCCTGTAGGTGCTAGGGAGCCACTGTAGAATTTAGAGCCGGGGAGATGTGGTCAGGGTTGCACTTTGGAATGACTTCTCTGGGTTCGGGGTGACGGCTCAATGGAAGGGGGCTCCAGTGGGGAAGCCGGCCTGTAGGCTGCCACAGTGATTGACATGAGAGGGTCCCAGCCCAGGGAAGAGGGAATGGAGAGGAGGGAGCAGCCAGGTGACAAGGAGGAGTCTCCATCATCAAAGCTTGGAGGTGGATACGGAGAGGTGAGTGGGAGGGGCCATTAAAGGAATACGAAGACTCTAGGTCAAGGCTTCCTAGCCTGGAAACCACGGGATTCAACTCGGTGGATGGGAAAGAGATACATTTTCATCACCCCAACTTCTGACAGGTGGCATTTTCTTTCTCACTTGAGTGGAGGCAACACCTCCTAGTCGTGTGAGAAACACTTGCAACAGAACCGCCAATAGAATTGCACGTTTCTCACCTCACACTCGCCAATAGGATTGCACGTTTCTCACATCACGCTCACCAATAGAATTCCACGTTTCTCATATCACGCTAGCCAATAGAGGTGCACGTTTCTCACATCATGCTACTGCTGCTGGCGTGTTGAAATGCACTCTCTCAAAGGCACTTTTCCTAGGGACTCTCGTGTGCCCCTTGTTAGTTCTTGTGTTTGGGAAGTACAGCCGACACGCTCCTTCGAAGCAAGTGTGGTGAGACTTCGTCTCGTGCGGTTTAGACAGGCTGTTGGAGGAGCGGCCCTTGGAGAAGGACTTCATGCCTGGTAAAGGAGAGGAAAAGAGGAAGACCGTCAATGAGAGGGCTTGCCCCGGTGGCTGCCACCAGGACCGCACACGGAGCCCTGTTTGTGAGGCCGGCGCAGGGTCGGTGGTGTTCTGGTCTGACGTTCGTAGGGTGGTGCTGCGTCCGATGCAATGGCACCCACCAATGACAAGAGCAGCAACACGTGGAGACCTAGATCAGAGTTTGTTCTCATCCTTTGCCGACTGTGCTTCAGTATAGTCGGCTTCCTCTGTCACCGCCTGTGTTTTATGTAGCTGGAAACATGTATTTTATGCATCTGAGAAGTGGCCCAAGCCAGAAAGCCCCTGGCATCCAACCACAAAGAGGCTCTGACTTGTGGGGTGCCCAGGCTGATGCTGAGTGAGCATGCTCTCACTGAGATGGGGAAGGTGGGAATGAGCAGGCTGAGCGAGACGGTCGGTTTCATCTTGAATGGGGTTGGCATGATGTTCCGTGGGTCCTACCATCACTTGTCTGCCTGTGTGTCGTCCTGCGGGGACTTGCATGTTGCTGTGAAGCTTGAAGCTATGTCACTGGTATTTCAAATGTCACAACGCTCGCTCAGGCATAGGAACAATTGTGAGGATGGTGCAGGACCGGGCGGCGGCGTTTCATTCTGTTGTGCGTAGAGTCACTGGGGGTCAGAACGACTCAAGGTCACCTCACAATGACAACTAACACCAACTAACACAGGTGATCCAGGTCCCTCCGCGGCCAGCTGTTTTACCTTTCTCCCTCTGCCACCCATCAAAGAATCCTTTATGATCCCAAGTATTTCTCCCATCCCCCCAGCTTGTTTACTTCATTACAAAAGAAAAGCCAAGGGTAGCGGTCTACATTCTTCGATGGTGATACTCATGGGAGGGAGGGGAGCTCTTTCCCCTCCTTCAGGGGCTGCTTATTAAAGTCCACACTTCTCAAGAAAAAGGAAAGAAAGAAACGCAAAA